GACTCGACAGCACATAACAATAACAACAACAATCTTGATTCAATAACATCCCTGTGGCATATGATGGAGGCAAACCTGAGACACTTCTGTGAGGTTACCCACCTTAATTCAGGCCCATATGATTTCTACAGATAAAGACCTGTTTAGGAAAAGCTTATAATAATAAAAAAATTACAGCTATAAGACTTTATCAGTGTGAGAGGAGAATGAGTAGAAATAATGGTAGTATTCAGTGAATTAGTCCTATGAATCCTTCCTGAGGAAATCTGTTTTAACAAGAAGCAAGTGCTTCAAATAAGAAGATAAATATCAACATAAGAACTGGTGGTGTGTATTAAATATAGCTATGTGTAGAACTAAACAGAAGAACTAAACCTACCAGAGCCAACTCGAAGGAAATTTGACAGATTAACTTGTGAAAAGCAACAGAAAATGTAAGATGAGAGCAAGGATACCCTGGTAAAATCGGAAAAGATATGTATCAGTATGTACTTAGGAATTCTCAAAACCCAGCTGAAATTCCTTGGCAGGATAATGCCTCACACTCAATAAAAACCAATGAAGCAGGAATTCACTCCAAACGAGCCAGGCAAAGAAAACACATCAAAGAAAAGAGAAAGTTATGGAAGAAAAGTCAGTTTAACTAGAGTTAAGCTAGAAAAGTTAGCCTCTCTCCTTCACAAAAGATCAGGGAAATCAAGCCCAATTAAAAAAAAATAATAACATTGGAAGAGGATTAGGATCAAATCCCATAAGAAGTTATGCAAGGAAGGAAAAAAATGGAATATAATAAACACAGCCAATGAAAGAATACTGAGGAGATGTAAGTGAAAGCTATAGCATGGCATTTCAAAATAAGCTAAAAGCAGGTAAGAAACAGATAAGAGACATCAAAGAAGAGAAAACAGGTTTTAATAGGTTTGTAAATGAAGGGATAGAATTGAGAAAATAATTAGAAATTTTTTAAGAAAGAAAAATGTCCTTAAAATTATACTAAAATGAATTCAAAACTAGAAATAATACAGGAGAAGACAAGTGTAACAATAAATACCTTACAAGCACTGTGGCAATTGGACAATTAAAACAGACTTTCAAGGGGGGAAAAAAAAGAAGAACGAACTGGGAAGGAGGGTAGAGAAAACAGTGCAACAATGAATGAATGAAAACCCCAAATCTCTGTAAATGTTCATTAAAATTAATAAAATTTAATAATAATAAAAAATTTTTAAAAAGGACAAGTCATTAAAAGTTTTAAAAATGAAGTGATAGTTGTAGTAGACAGGCAAAGATGATTCAACATATAAATAATGGGAGTGCTCCAGGGGAAAAAAAAAAGGAAAATTCAAAAAAACTATCTTGGAAAAAGAGAGAGTGAATCCAATGGGGACCTGAAAGGATAGGGTAATGGTGGGCATAGATCGATACAGTGACTAATTTTGTAAGACACAATATATGGAAATGATGGTATGAAACACAATTTGAATGAAGGAATGTGTGAAGGACAAACATGAAAGAAACATAATGTATACAAATTTTGCATGTAAACCAATATAAAATTTAAAAAGTACACTTTAAACATATATTCAATTTAATAAACATAGTTTAGAGATTTGTCATTACAAAAAAAAAAGGAGAGCATGAGAGATATTTGAAAGTATATATGAGGGTAGGAATGTGGTATCAGAATTGGAGGAAGATTCATCAACAACCTATGCTTTGCAGATGACACAACCTTGCTCACAGAAACTGAGGAGGACCTGAAGCATTTGCTGGAGAAAGTAAAGGACTGCAGTCTTCCGTATGGATTGAAGCTCAACATCAAGAAAACAAAGATCATCACTACTGGGCCAATTGGCAGCACCATGATAGGTGGAGAAGAGATTAATGTTGTTAACAATTTCGGCTTGGTTGGCTCCACAATCAACACTCTTGGCACAAGCAGTCAAGAAATCAAAAGAAAAATTTCATTAGGAAAAATCTGCTCTTAAGGACCTTTCCAAAGTGCTGAAGAGCAATGGTGTCAGTCTGGAAACTGGTATGTTTGATCTAGGCCATGGTCTTCGCAATTACTTGCTATGCATCAGAAAGCTGGACAATAACTAAGGGTGGTAGAAGAAGAATTGATGTCTTTGAGTTGTGTTGTTGGAGAAGAGTATGGAACATACCATGGACTGTCAAAGAACTAACAGGTTTATCCTGGAGAAAGTGAAAGCAGGCTGCTCCTTGCAGGCAACGATTTTGAAGCTCCATCTCATTTACTTTAGGCATGTGGCCACAGGGACCAGTCCCTGGAGAAGCCCATCATGCTTGGAAGTGTGGAGGGGCAGTACAGGAGAGGAAGACCCTGGATGAGATGGATTGACCCAGTAACTGGTGTAATGGGAATGGGTGTGTCAGACACAGTGAGACTGGCTCAGGATAGAGCAGAGTTCAGATGTATTGTACATAGGGTCGCTATGAGTTGCAGGCAACTCAATAGCACATAAGAACAATAACAATGAGGACTTGTAGCTGGGAAAATTGACCAAAAATGACCAACACTGAGGTATATGCTGTGAAACTCCTGGACTTGAAGGAGAAAAGTAGAGGTGGGAGACACAGAAAACATCTTTAGTCAAAAAGCCAAGTCACTTAGAAACAAAAATAAACAAGCAAACAGATAAGCAAAAGCTAATGCCGTCAATTTGCTGTACTGATAACCTGGAGTGGCAGTGATGCTGATCTCTGTGCCATTGGGGTACAGAATGGTTACCCATGGTGGACAGTGTTTGATGGAGCTCACAGATTAAGACATGTTTGGAAATAGGAGTGGTATCCACTTCCTAAACAACATGCCTCTGGAAACTCTATGAACTTTGGGAAATGATGATAGTTATACAAAGACTGCAGGTCTTTTGTTCATAGGGCCGCTATGGGTCATGATCGACTCGACAACAATCAACAACAATGCTGTTTAACTGACTCTGACTCATAATGTATAGAACAGAGTCATACTGAATATCCTGTGGACTGCAAAGAGATAAGTCTTGGAGAAAGTGCAACCAGAGAGCTCCTTAGAGACAAGAATAGTGAAGCTTCATCTCACGTACTTTGGGCATGTTGTTAGGAAGGGGTATTCTTTGGAGAGGGACATCATGCTTGGAAAGGCAGAGAGTCAGAGAAGGAGAGAAAGAGTCTTGGCCAGATAGATTGACATAGTGACCGCAGCAATGAGTTTGAGTGTGTTAGGGATGATGAGAATGGCACAAGGGAAGACATGGTTCAGATTTGTTCATAAGGTCAATATAAATTGCACTCAACTCAATGGTCCCTAACAACAGAAACAGCAGAACCTTCCAGAAAGTTTCTGAAGCTGTGAATGTTTACAGACTGCATCATTAACCTTCCTCTGCCCCAGAAGAGCTCGTGGGTTTAAACCAACTGCTGTACGCCAAAGAGATTGGTATGTGTGGCATAGAAAGGTATTAGTATAAAGGCAGCCATTAGTACAAACCTTCATACATAGAAAAACTAAGCGATGGCAGCAAAAGAGGGAAGGCTAAACCATTTCAAAAATTCTATGCTACAGGAAAGGGTAGCAGAACTAATGCTCGGAGTACGCACATGGCTGTTGAGGACTGGGTCCGTGCTGGGAGATGCAGCACACTTCCACTGCTGGTGTCTGCCAACCTCAGTCTGAGATTTTCACTGTCCGGGGAGGTGGGGAAGAGGCTGCTTGAAGACTGTATGGAGAAATTCAGTCAGGTTATGAGATCTACTCACCCGCAGTTCACAGGCTTTGTGAGATTGTATCTAGGGTTATGGGTTGAATTGCATGTACCCACCCTTCTGCTCTTCCTGGCCCTTGTATCTGTGGATGTGATTCTGTTTGGAGACATGTTTTTATTTGGAAATAGAAGTTCCTGGGTGGAATTAGTAGTTAAACATCCATCTACGGACCAAAAGGTTGGGAGTTTGAACCTACCCAGAGGTGCCTCAGAAAAAAAGGCCCACAGATCAGATCTGCTTCCAAATACTCACAACCTTGAAAAGCCCAGGGCTTGCAGTTCCAGGCTACACCACATGGGTCGCCATGAATTGGAATAGACGGCAAGTTTTATCTTTAGTTTTATCTGTGGATATGATCTTAAAGTTTTTCTTTTGTTACATGGACGAAAAATACCAGTAGAGTGAGTCCTAAGCCAAATCACCTTGGAGCTATAGAAAAGACGAGATCAGATTAAAAAAACCACAGTTGGAAGAAGACAGACTAGCCAAGGCATGCCAAGGAACCAGTGAAGAATGGTCTACTGACAAGGAAAGAGTTCACATGGGCGAGCCTCTGATTTGGACATTTAGTCTCTACAAAGTGTGAGAAAATAAGTCTCTGTTCTTTCAAGCCACCTACTTGTGGTGTTTGTGTTATAGCAGCACTAGGTAACTGAGATACTAGGTTTCACAACTTAGCTTAGGGAAACTACTCCTTAAGCATTAAGGTCTGGAATCCTCAAGTCTCTGGCAGGATCACATCCTCTGTGTACACGAGCACTAGACATGAAGGGCCAGAGCAGCTGAGCTGTGAACCGGTAATAATCAACATATTGTTGTTGCTAGGTGCTGATCACAACTCCGGGTGAGCACCCTGCGAAGAACAGGGGGATGCTCTGCCCTCTCTTCCATCATCTTCCCAAGCTTTGTCATGCTCAAGCCCATTGTTGTCGTGATTATGTCAATTCATCTTGTTGAAGGTTTTCTGCTCTTTTGCTGACTCTATATTCCCAGCATGAGGTTTTTCCCAAGGATTGTTATCTCCTGAAAATGTGACATAAGTAGGTGAGACAAACTTCCGCCATCCTCACCTGTAAGGAGCACCCTGGTTGCATTTCATCTAAGATGAGTTAGGTTTCAGCAGTTCATGGCATAATCAAATAGTTGTGCTCGACACCAAAATTTAAAGGCATCATTCAAATTTTAAAGGCAACTTCTTCAGCGTTCCATAAGCAACATAATGGATTTAAAAAGTCAGTGAGGGGGTGGTGGTTATATGTCATCAAGTCAGAACCAACCCATAGCTGACCCTCCAGTGGGCTCTCAGAGGCAGTAAATCGTACAGGAGGAGGTTGTTTGTCTTTCTGCTCGCAGAGCAGCTTGTGGATTTGAATTGCAAACCTTTGCTTTTACAGGTCAGTCTTTCATTAATCAATGTACTCAATTATAAATATCAATGGTTAAAAAGCAAAATTAATTTGTGTCTTTCCCCTGTTTACTATTTATTGACCTCAGTGCAGTGTAGATATCACTTTCCCCAACCTCTCAATTATATTGTACTGTGTTTTTAGTAAAAGTTTACACTGACAATTACTTCCCCATTAAACAATCTCTTCATAGACTGTCCAGTGATGTTAGTTAGGTTTTTCATAATGTGTGAATGTCATCTTTAATTGTACTCTGTTCAGTTTCCAGTATTCTAATTTCTCTACTCCCTTATACTTTCATCTTTGTTTTAGAGTAATTGTTGACCTTTGACCTCATGTAGATATTTTTTTATTGGAATGCTATCCATGACCTGAAGCATCTGCTGCAGAGGGTCAAGGACTGTAGTTTGCAATATGCATTAAAGCTCAACATCAAGAAAATGAAAATTCTCACCACTGGGCCCATTGGCAGGATCATGATAGATGGAAATGAGATTGTTAACAAATTAAGCTTGCTTGGTTCCACAATCAGCACTCAACATAGAAGTCAGGAAATCAAAAGAATTGCATTAGGAAAATCTACTGTCAGGGACCTGACAAGGTACTGAAGAGCAAGGATGTCAGTGTAGAGATGAAAGTGCGATCCAGGCCATGATCTTCCTAATTACATGCTATGCATCAGAGAGCTGGACAATGACTAAGGATGACAGAAGAAGAAGTGGTGCCTCTGAGTTGAGAAGAGTATTGAACATACCATGGACTGCCAAGAGAACTAACAGGTCTGTCCTGGAGAGGGTGAAAGCAGGCTGCTCCTTGGAGGCAAGGATTTTAAGACTGTCTCACACACTTTGGACATGTAGCTAGGAGGGACCAGTCTTTAGAGAAGAATATCATGCTTGGAAAGATGGAGGGACAGCACAGGAGAGGAAGACCCTGGATGAGATGGATTGACACAGTGACTGGGATAATGGGAGTAGGTGTGTCAAAGACAGTGAGACTGGCTCAGGATAGAGCAGGGTTCAGAGTTATTGTGCATAGGGCCACTATGAGTCTCAAACAATTTGACAGCACATAACAGCAATACATGAAGATAACATCCTTTATTCTGTGTGCCAATCTGTTATTTTGCTAAAAAATTATTTTAGGAGTTAGTTTTGGTTCAAGGTTTAAAGAGCATCTCAAGACAATAGTCTCAGGAATTCCTCTAGGCTCAAATGGTTCATCAAGTAAGGGCTTTTTAAAAGACTCTTAGTTCAGGGGAGCTCTGGTGGCCTAGTGGCAAGAAGCTGTACTGCAATTCCAGAGGTACACAGTTCAAATCCACCAAATGCTCTGCTGGAGGAGGAGGGACAATTTCCTCCTGTACCAGTCAGATCTGGTTTGACAGTACATGCACAAAAAATAATAATAATAAAATAAAAAAAGACTCTTCGTTCTGTTCTTCTCTTTATCCTAATCCATAAGGGTTCATCCATCATGCCCTTGATCAGAACGATTTAGAGTAGCAGCTGGGCACCCTCTAGTTCTTCTGATCTCTGGGTAGATAAGGCTGTGGCTAGGTATTGTACTTAAAATAGGTTGTAAACTTATTTTTTTTCCCTGAGACATTGGTTTCCTTCCCTTTCCTTTTTTCCTAATGCATTCAGACCAAGAGATGTGTCTTAGATAACAGCTTTAAAAGCCTTAAAAAAAGGGGGGGGGGGAGATACTACTCATCTCAGTTGGATGCAGAACCTGAACTTGGGATACCAGCTATTTAAGTCATCCTGTGAAAATATCACGGACTTATTTTTTTTTAACCAAAAAGTCTTTTCCATTCATAGGACCCAAACTTCCTGTTATCAAATGATTCTGATTAATAGCAACCTTGTAGGACAGAATAGACAGTCCCCTCTCGTCTTCAAAGTTATAAATAATTACAGAAGCAGACTGCCTCATCTTTCTCCCACCAAACAACTGGTAGTAGATTTGAACTCTCAACCTTTTGGTTAATAGTCTAATTCTTTACCCACTAGGCCACTAGAGCTATGTTTCCCTCAACAATGATAGAATGTTTATACCCATCAGCCCTCTGCACTGTCCATTCTCATTGACTGTATCCAGTAAAGCCTGTGAAGGGGCCCACTTACTGTAGACTCGTTGGAGCTGCTGGACACCTTGGGCACCAGGCAGTGAGTGAACTGTATCCTGGGGTCCTTGGTGGTGATTGACAGGCCTTTCTGCAGAATTCTCACCAAGCGAGTCCAGAACTGAAATACAGCATCAGGGTGTTTTTCGTGGAGCTTCAGGTAGTAGATCTTTTCGGTCACTGTCCTCACCCTCAGGATGCGCTGAATCCTGTCACAGATCTTCAGCTCCACGTACTTCAGGGGCAGGATCCTGCACACAATCAGGGAGCTCACGGTACAGTCCATGATTTTAACGCACGCTGTTTGCGTCGCCCTTGATTCTGCCTTTGCCCCAAGCCTCCCGCTCTGCTTCGTGGACCCAGGGGAGAAAGCTCACCGTTGATCCTTCTCTCTCATCTCCAGGGCTTGATTACTTTTACACATTATTATTAAATGCTCTTTCCACATCACTACCAATGGCATATTTAATGTATGATCTAGAATTTAATCCTCACAACAGCCCTTTGATGAAGGGAAAGTAAGCATTCAAACTAGTTTATAGACTGTGAAACTGAGCTTCAGAGAAGCTATTTGCCCAGTCAGGATCTCATGAAGCAAAAACTGGCTCCATTCCTGGGCTTCCTTTGATTGTTTCTGAGAACTTTTCTAGCAAAGACCTCTGGATAGAAAGGGCATGAGCTAGAGTAGAAACGCTACCTTGTTATCTCCTAGAAAAGGAGTGCTGGCAGAGCAGTGGATAAAGCATTTAGTTACTATTCAAAAGGTTGATGGTTCGAATCTAAAATCTGCATTTTTATTTTTTAAAATGATTTGCTTTATGGGGAAACGATGAGGCAGCCTACTTCTAAAAAGACTTATGACTATGAGTTTAAATTAACTGTATGGCACTGGGTTGGTTAATTTTGGGTTTTGTCCATTTATTTGTGTCTTAGACACCCAATACCTATCTATCTATCTATCTATCTATCTATCTATCTATCTATCTATTATCTATCTATCTATTATTTCTCTCTCTCTCTCTCTCTATCTTAGTGATTTAATCTCAGTACCTCTCAATCCAGTATGACTTTCACAATCTTCACCCTTTCTTTGGGAACTCAACATTACATTCACATGATAAAGGTCAGCAAAGAAAGCGAAGATCCTTGAAAACTATACTTCACCAAACAAGGCCTCTGACCTGCTCTAACCCCACCTCCAAATGCAATGCTCAGTATATAGACTAATGCCCTTGGGTCAGTTTTATTTCTGGGCCTGTAAATCTTTATTGGAGGAAGTGCCTATCTTTCTTCTGCAGCATTTCTAGTGGATTTAAACTACCAACTTTATAGCTAGTGTCTCAGCCCAAGACACAGTGTGCCAACAGAGCTCCGTGCTACAGAAATATTTGTTAAATGCACTCATTTAACTCGTAAATTCTAAGCAGCTTATACACTAAAGAGCACTCTTCCTTTGTATCAAAAGCTAGGCTGCAAAATGATGCACAGATTAACCACACCCCCGTCTTGGCTCCTTCCTTTAAAGCTTTCTTTACCTGTTGAGGGTGATAACTGGAGCATTACCAGGGGTTTTCCAGGTAGCAAAATGACCCTGGGGCCAGGTGACCTTGGCCATCAGGAGGACGTTGGGGAGTGGCAGGCAGGGTACAGACGAAGTCACTCCAAGGGCTATGGTGGTGTACCGTCCGGAGACATCTATCCATTTCTCAGGCTTAATGACCTGGAAATCAGCCCAGTAAACGAGTCAGATAAGAGCAAAGCCAGAGGTAGAAGAAGGAGACAGGCTAGGAAGAGAGATGCAGCTTGGTGACAGACTTGGACACCTGAGCTGCTTCTAGGCATACAGCACAGGAGGCTGGGCCAAGAGCTATTAGCAATCCTTTCTGGTGGTTCCCCACAAATCACCTCTTGACTTACTGGCAACAAGAACTCTTTGCTGGCTATCTTTGTGTCCTCTGCATTACCTAAGTGGACAAGCAGCATGGAGATGTTATTCTAGTGGCTTAGTGGTAAGAAATTGTATTGTCAACCCAAAGATATGTGGTTTGAATCCACTAGCTGCTCCATGAGAGAAAGAAGGACGATCTCCTTCTGTGTGATTTACTGTCTCGGAAAACCCTTTAGAGGAGCAGCTCTGCATTAGTTCTGACTCAATGGTACTCAACAACAACACAACCTTTGAGCAGGAGAAGCCAGAATTTGTTTCTAATGGCCTAGAAGAAAAGCTGTACAAAGAAAATTCCAGATAACATCAGTGGAAGCCCAAAATGATGGTCTACAGATACTGTTCATGTGTGGAACTGTACTGATCTCCATGGTTCAACTTTCAACTAAATAAATGATATTGCTGTTGTTGTTAGGTGCCACTGAATGGAATATGACTCATAGAGACTCTGTGAACAACGGATCAGAGCCGTGTCCTATCCTGTGTCAACCTCACAATCTCTGACATGCTCAAGCCCATCTCAATGGTCACTGTGTTAGTCCACCTGGTTCTTCGCCATCTCCCACTTTTCTGAGCATGATGTTCTTCTCCAAGGAATAGCCTTTCGTAGCAACATGCCCAGAGTGTGTGAGATGAAGCTTTGCCATTCTTGCCCTCAATGAACAATCAGACTTCACCTTGTCCAAGACGATCTCTTCTCTTGGCAGTCCATGGGATGTTCAGTACTCTTCTCCACCACCACGACTCAAAGACATCAATTTTTCTTCTGTCCTCTTTATTCATTGTCAGTTTTATTCATGTCAGCTCTCAGCAGCATTGTAAGTGATGGAAAAAACCATAGTCTGCATCCAGTGCACTTTAGTCCTCAGAATAACATCATTGTTCCTCAGTGATATGGAGATGTCTCTGAGGGCAGATTTCCCCAGTGCAATACCTCTCTTGATCTCCTGACTGCTTGTACCAAGTGTACTGCTTGTACCAAGTGTACTGATTGTGGGTCCAAGTAAGATGAAGGTGACAAGAGAACAATAACATCCAGAAGGCACACGCTCCTTAGAACAATCAACAATCTGAGATCAAGGTGCCTCATTTTCCAAGGATAAAGCTCAGAAGGGAGGGAGGGAGTAGGTAAAAGGACCAATGGAAATGGGAAACATAGAGAGGGAGGTGGACAATGCTACTACAGGGCGGGGATTACAATCAATGTTATGAAACAAAATAGTAATTGTTGATTGAAAAGCCAATTTACTCTGCCTTTCCCCCCCACCTATATCACAATGAAAAGATACCTGGAAAAAGAAACTTCCAGAAGGGATGGAAAATAAGCCAAGATCCATTGATTATGAAGGTCCAGATGGTCCTTCTAGATGGAGATCTGGGAGATAGCTTCCGTTTAAGAGAAGCCTAGGGGGTTGCTGGGCTCTCTTGGTGCCTCCCAGGGGCCATGGCAGGGCAGGACCATGGGCCACATGGCACTGGGTACTGAGTCTTGGCCAAGGTGTGCCTCACCAACCAGCCCAGCAGAGAAGAATTAAGGGAGCAGGGTAGGTAAGCAACATGGGTGACCCTCGGCCCCGACAGCCAGAAGAGCATGCGCCGAGATCCTAGACTTGCTAAGGTCATCGGGACCACTGTGTGGCCTTTAGTGGGGCATAGGGCAAGGAGGAGCTAGGGAAAGACTGAAATGGCATGACCCTCAAGTCCAGCCAGATGGTACTTTGGGAGAAGGGATCTCTGGGCATTCTTTGCCTTAGAGACCATATTATGGAATGAAATGCATATTCACAAAAACACAGGTGGTTAAAACGGTAGAAGTGGTTAAAGTTTCAGCTGCCCCTAAAAGGTTTGAGGTTTTAAGTTTACCTACATGTACCCTGAAGGAAAAGCCTGGCAATCTAATACTGAAAACTCAACTACAGAAAATCACACGGAGCAAAATAAGGGGTGGGAGTTGGGGGTGGGGAAGCCCACCAGCCCTGTGAAGCATATTTCTGTCTTACCACACACACATGGGTGCCATGAATTGGAGGCCACACAACAGCAACAAAGCTTTTTGAGTGTGTTTTGTTTTGTATTTGCAAAAGAGAAGTTCCGAGGGTCAGACTGGACCACTAGAAAATAGCAGGTAGTGCCGTGATAAGACTGGATACACAAAACTACCATTCCACCTTCCCAGAGACTCTGCTTTCCACAAGTGGCAAATACTCACATCCACAGTGTCATACAGTCTCTCTTCTGGAAGCTGGAGAAGCCTAGGTGTGCCCAATTTAACCAGCAGGTATGCTCTGAAACAGAGCTGCTCCCCAAGCATCTCAGGGAAAGGAGGTTGAGTTTCAGAGCTGGCATTTGGACAGCACCCCTCATTCCCTCTGGCCGTCTCCTTGAGACTAAAGGCCCGCTAGTGTCTGGGGCCCGTGATCAGAGAAGGAGCTGGGGTTTCTCCTTCAGTAAGGTGTCAATCTGTTCTCTACCTGCACTTTTGGTGCAGGAGTCTCTGGCGGGTACAGTCAGTTAAACACTCAACTACCAAGTGAAATGTTGCTGGTTTGAACCCCCTCCCAGAGATGCTTCAGAGGCCTAGGGTCTTGCTATCTGTTTCTGGAGGTCTGAGGAGTGCAGCTCGCCTCTGCGCATGAGGTGTTGCCAGGCATGGGAGTCACCTTGACGGCAGCTTGCTAGGTTGTTTCTCCTTTGGTGCAGGGAGCTCCATGATGCTGTAGCATGAACTGAGGTGACCGTAGGATGTAGTCTTTCTGGTTTTCTCTACCCTAAGTGGGTGACTGCCTCTCTTATCCCCTGGCATCCCAGGGCCCTGGGTGCAGCCTTTAGAAAGGGAAGAACAACTGGGTCTAGTTACACCAGAGTACCTGGGTGAAGTTGCTTTCAAATACTGTGGAGTCAGAGAACAAGTTGAACTCTGGAGAATGAATCAGTTGACAAAGGAGGCCATTTTCCACCCCTAGCTTCACTCCAGGGCCTGCCTCCCTGATCTCAGGCGGGAGGCCCCTAATCTTACTCATTGGTTCCTGGGAAGAATGGGCTGGGGGACATAGCTAGGGCTCCACACAGACCCAGCCTGACTCCAAGGTGTTGATGTGACCACTACTGCCAGCCCTATGCAGCTCACTGCTCTTGCTCACCTGAGGGCTGGTCCCTGGATGGAAGGAGCTGTGGGCTCATAATGGCTTGAATGACATCAAGGGCTGTGATTGGTAACAGCAGGACAGGGAAAGAGGAGACAGCAGGAGATTGAGGACATGCAAGACTCCTCTTTCTTTCCCAAGGGCTACAAATCAGAAGCCAAGCAGCCTCTCCTGTTCTCCAAACATGCCACCTTTCCCCAAAGGAGAGAACAATATAGTGCAAACAGCAGGGAGCTGGCTGGATGGTGAGTGATGTTCCTTGAGGAAGGCTCTCAGGGCCAACACTCAACCTTTTATCCTCCTGCTAAAGGTAAAACTTCCAGACATGCGATCTCAGCGTCAATTGTTGACTCAACTTGGGCCCTGACCTAGCCATAGGAGTTACAAACAGGAGAAAAGTTGCTTTTCTCAAATTACGTCCCCTGTGTCATAGGATGTTTTTGTTGTGTACCATCAAGTAGGGACTGACTCATACCTGACCCTCCACTGGGTTTTCAGAAGCAGTTAATCACACAGGAGGAGACATTCAATGGAATACTATGCTGCATTGAAAAATAAGGAACTCATACAATATTATTAAAAATGGATGACCCTTGAAGACATTATGCTGAGTGAAATATTTCAGTCATAAAAGGACTTATACTGCATAGTGCCACTGTCATAAAACGGGACACACACGGGTTGTGGGGAGACTGAGAATGATGGGATAAATCATATGTACTGCACTGAAAGAGATGAGAGAGAGAACTGTTTAAAAGGGATATATGATTAGGCATTATTGTCATGACAGGAGTCTATATGAGAGGCTGCATAGTGGAGTGGACTTGGAGGGAGGGATTGTAAAACAATGAAAGAATTTTACTTTTCAAAGAAAGAATGAACTGGCAGGAGAAGTGGGCAGGGAGAAAAATGCAACAATGAATGAATGTAAATCCAAAGTCTGTAAATTTTCATCAAAGATAATAATAGTAATAGTAATAACAATAATAATAATAAAAAAGAAAAAAATTCCAAATCACCAGACAGTTCACAAAGAAAAGAGGGCCCCGACTTGGAAATACTAAGCAGGGGAAGACGCAATAGCATGGTAATATGCAGGAGCCCGAGCAAAACAAATTGTAGGAGTCATTGGTTCTAAGAACGCCTTGAGCTTACTGTTAGCACAACAATAAATATAATTTTTCTGAGCTCTCTTTCAGGCAAGATCCACCTGATATCAGCATTGACATTCCTTGTGCTATGTCCTCTTCTGAATATGGCTTGAATTTCTGGCAGTTCCCTGCTGACATACAGTCTTAGCCATTTTTTAAATTTAATTTTTTATTTGTATATGGTATTAAGGATGTTATAGAATTTCCACCTTCTGTTGGATATCATTTGGGGGGAAAGGGAACAAATAGAGATCTCTTCAGTCAATTGGCCAGGTAAGAGTCTTCCATGTTTATTGGTGGGGACCAGAGAGCACGCCCACGGTTTCATGTTTCCTGAATTAGCTCACTTGGTATTGAATCTATTCTTGGAGTCTTGTTTTAGGCCATCACCTTCTTTGCAGCTTTAAATTCTTCCTTCAGTTCTGTTGGTTCTTGATCATACATGACTTCCTGAAATGTTAACCAGTTCTTTTTCTCAGAACACTTAATTGTGGTTATGTGACACCCATACATAGACAAGGAAGAAACTGTCTGAATAGAAGAAGAAAATATGGCATTTAGAAGTGCTGTGGTTTAGAATATCTCCCATGTGAACTCAGTGAACTAGAAACACAAAGAGCGGAGAGACCACCTCGCTGAGAGCACAGCCTCTTCTGCAGCCCCGTCAGCCATCCGGCTGCTGTGAGGAAGGTCTCCCAGCCCGGTTGCTGGCACACTGGGCCATTGTGACCAACATGGCTTCACTGGCTGAGATTTCCAGGCCTTGCTTGCCTGCCCACCTTAGTCTCTGCGAAGCTGTCCAGCATCAGGGCCGCACGACGGCCTCCGGGGCAGAGGGCGATGTCTAGGACCATCAGAGCGGACATTCCTCCAGGACTTCCTGCTCGGACTATAATTAGGATCTAAGGCCAAGGGGAGCCTCACCTGCTCCCGTGCAGGCCGTGCACACAGCCCACCTGGCGCTCCCCGGGCCAGCTCCCAGTCCTGGACACCACCTCAGTGGGACAGCCAGCATCCCCACCATGAAAACCCTGGCCCTGGCCCTGCTGGGGGCCCTGCTGCTTACAATGAGAGCTCAGGGTCTGCGCTGCTACAAGTGCTCCAGGAATGAGGACTTGGACCCCTGCGAGGAGGAGACATGCTTCTTCCCTAGTGGGGTCTGCATTTCCCAGGATGTCACGGTGATATGGGAGACAAGCATATCGAAGCTCTACAACAGGTACTGCTTTGAGTCCTGCCCTGCTGGCTATGAGTCCAGGCGGGCTGTGATACCCAATGCGAAGATGCGCTCCAATAACTCCTGCTGCTCAAAGGACCTCTGCAACACGCTGCCCCCAAAGCCCACAGCGTCCCCATCGACCACATCGACCACAGTGCCCACAACGTTCGCAGTGACCACAACGCCCACCAAGCCCACAACGCCCAAACCCCGCACCAACCGGGTACCTGCCGGCCTTGCGGGGTTCCTGCTCAGCGTGGGGGTGTCCTTCCTCACAACTCTGCTGTGCTGACTCTCCGTGGGCCCCGCCCCTCTGGCCACTGTGTTCCACCCCTCAACTTCTGATTCCTGAGTTCCAGATGGTTTAGAGCTCTGAGGTCAGAGAGCCAGGCAGAACTGGTGGGGTACAATCTTGTCGGGGACTTGGCACCAAAACCTCCCTGTGGCCACACTGGTTCTGCTCAGATCCCTTCTCTTCCCCACACTCCAGGGTCTTGGAGGCATAGTGGGGTCGTCAAGTCCACCCCTAGGTCTTGGAACCCATCCCAGGTCTTGGAGCCCACCTCACGTTCTTAGAGCCCACCCTGGGCATGGCTCCCTCTGATTTGTTGTACCTGCAAACTTGTTATCCTGAACTCACTCCTGAGGGCCTGTGCACCCCAGCGGCCCCTGACCTACTCTGACCACTCCACTGCCACTCCCCATGTATTCAATAAATTCCATCTTCTCCATCGGGGGAAAAGTTCCCTGGTTTAAACTTAGAAAAGGTGAGTGTCAGGAGTACACCCTTTCTCTGTACCTATTCAACATGCTGAGCAAATAGTTTGAGAGGCTGGACTATAAGAAAAAGAATGTGGCATCTGGAAAAAAGGATCGGAGGAAGGACTCGTCAACTACCTGTGTTACTCCGATGACATAATCTTGCTTGCAGAAAGTACAAAACATGTGGCACTCTTACTGTAGAAGATCAAAGATTACAATGTACATTATGTATCAACATCAGGACACCTCCTGATTTCCTGATTGCTGCACCAAGGGTGCTGATTTTGGATCCAAGATGAAACCATTGAAAATTTCAATCTTTTCCCTATCCATCATGATGATAGGTCTAGTGATAAGATTTTTGTTTTCTTAACATTGACATGCAACTCATATTGAAGGCCGTATTCTTTGATCTTCTTCAACGAGTGCTCCATGTCCTCCTGACTTTCAGCAAGCAAGATTGTGTTATATTATGGAGGTTATTGATGAGTCTTCCTCTGATCTTGATGCCATATTATTCTTCATAGAGTTTAGTTTCCTGAATCATTTGCTCTGCATACAGATTGAATAGGGATGGAGAGATAATACAACCTGATGCACTTCCTTTTTCATTTCAATTAGCAATAATCGCACCTTGGATAGATTGGCTACGATATGTCCACTGAGCAATGCTTCCTTTTTCATTTTAAACCACCTAGTGTTCCCTTGCTCTGTGCACACAATAGCCTCCTGGTAAAGGTTATGCATGAGCACAATAAGTGTTCTGAGATTCCCATTCTTCACAATGTTATCCATAACTTGTTATGATCCACACAGTCAAATGCCTTTGCAATAAAGCACAAACAGATATTATTTCAGCCAGGATCCATCTGACATCAGTAATAATATCTCTGGTGCCATGGCCTCTTCTAAATCCTGCTGAATTTCTGGAAGTTCCCTATCTATGTACTGTTCTAGCCCTTTTAAAATGATCTTCAGTAATATATTGCTTGCATGTGACAGCAATTATATTGTTCTATAGTTTCCACATTCTGTTGGATCCCCTTTCTTGGGAATGGGAACAAATATGGCTCTCTTCTAGTCAGTCAACCAGAGCTGTCCTTCAAATTGCCTGGCATAGACTGCTGCGTGCATCCAGGCCTGTATCGTTAGTTGAAATGTCAGTCGGTATTCCATAGATTCCTGGTCCTTATTTTCTTTGCTAATGCCTCCAGTGCAGCATCAGTTCTTCTTATTTACCCTTGGCTCTTGTTCATAAGGTTGTTGTTGTTAGGTACCATTGAGTCATAGGTGACTCATAGACGTAGAGAAAGTGCAGTCAGAATGCTTCTTGAAGGCAAAGATGACAAAGCTTCGTCCCACATAATTTGGGCATGGTGCTAAGAAAGGCTATTCTTTGGAAAGGGACATCATGCATGATGGAGATGTCAGCAGTAGTGAGGGTCAGCAAAAGAGAGGAAGACCCTTAATGAGATGCATTCACACAGTGACTGCTGTCATGGGCTCAAGTGTATCAGAGATCAGGAGGACGGCACAGGAGAGGTCAGGGTTCAGATTTGTTGTTCATAGGGTCACGATGACTCGACAGCACCCAACAACAACAACATTATTGTCAAGTGCCATAAAACTCAACTCTGATTTGTAACAACTCTGTAGAGAACAGAGAGAACACAGCTTTATTCTATACCATCCTCCAGTCTCCGCTGGGCTAAGCTCATTGCTGCAGTCGTAATGTGACTCCATGC